ATCATGATGCATGTTATCAGAATTGTAGATCCTTTTTTGCTACTTGAAGAAGAATGAGCATCAACTTTTGTCACATCTTTGGAATTGAATCCTCTGAAAAAACCTGACATGATTTGTAATACAACACAAATGAATTATGACAACAGAACTGTAGTAACTCAATGGTGTAACACTACAGGAGCCGATTTAAATTGGTAACTTAAATTCATCAGATGCAATAAGTCCAATTTCCTTAACATATGCATAAACGCAATCGAAATAAACCCTAGAACACATTTTATGTCAGAATCTAGGAAGAGAAGCATATGCATAAACGCAATTGAATAATTAAAACACATATATCAAAACCTCCCTATTTACTGTTAAAGCGATATGAACGCATATATCAAAATTTCTACTGACTAGCGATTTTGTTTCCTGGAATGAAGTAATTGAACAAAAGGAAAAAAAAACTTATGTTACCTAAAAAACATCGGAACTTCTGATTTGAGTAGGTATACATTTCTTATCTAACTATACAAACTCGTGTATCTGAAATTGATGAAGTGATTTCCAAGAGAATGAAGAAGACGAAGAAATTTTCAAAGCGAAACGCAGACTCGAAGATGGCAGCGACTGCTTGATAACGACATCTACAGGGACCGCCATTAACGGCCGTCAAAAACTTGATCTGTGAGGTTTTGTGAGGGCGTTAGAGATTTGTTGACTCTTCGATTTGTAGCCGAAAATCTAGAGAACAAAGAGTCGATGGCCGGAGGTGGCATGGATTCCGGACGGTGGTGCTTTTGGTGGAAACAAATTGACAGAGGGAGAAGGTGAGTAATCATCGGTGATATGCAATTGCGAAATTGGTTTTGGAGTAACAAATAGATTCGACATATTTTAATGCCAATAACACCCTTGGATCCAAAAATCTAGATACATCGCGTCTCTTTTTTACCACTTATTTGCAGAATTGCCATAAGAAATCTAAGCCCTCTATTTTTTTGATCTAAAGGTCTAAAATTAGTTCTCGGGTTCTCGGGAAACTATTGGTTCTCAAATGATCCTCTCTCTCTCTCTCTCTCTATATATATATATATATATATTATATATATATATATCTATATATCTATATATATATATATATCTTATATATATATCTTATTATATATACTCCCTCCGTCCCAAAATTATTGTCCACAGACAAAAAAACACATAGATTAAGAAAAGCAATCATTAGTTTTGTCTTTTTGAGTAAAATGACCCTCTTGCCTTTTTCTAAAACCAATGGGAAATGTGTGTTTGTAATTATTCAAGTTTACTTTATTAAATGTTAGGGGTATATGTGTAAAAGTGTATATCTACTTTTGGTAGTGGACAATAATTTTGGGACAAACTAAAATAAAATAATAAAGTGGACAATAATTTTGGGACGGAGGGATGTATATATATAATATATATATATATATATATTATATCTATATATATATATATATTATATATATATATATATATATATATATATTATAATATATATAATAGTCGTAGAATATAATGAAGTATGGGAAGAAGTCTTTCAAATCGGTTCATCTTCTTTGTTCATTTTCTCTGATCTTAACATGGTATTATATTTTTTATCCTTTTTTCCGCATTCTTTTCTTCACTCTTTTCACTATTTTTTTCAATTAATCAATTCATCATGTCTTTCTCTAAAATCAATCCATTTCCATTGATTTTTCAAGTCAATATTACCTTGGATGTTTGGATAATCCAGGTCCTGTTCTTGTTTCTAAGACCTTCAATGCTGTTGGATTTTCATCATGTAAGTAATCCATGATTATCGCTATATCAGCCAAGAATAAGCTTAGATTCGTTGATGGATCAATTTCTCAGCCACTTGTTACATATGCTACATACGCCAATTGGTATCGTGTTAACTCCATGGTTGTCAGTTGGATTTTAAACTCTCTTCATCGTAATATTGCTGAGAGTGTTCTCTTTCTTCAAATCGCTCATGAGATATGGAAAGAATTGAATCACCGATACGAGAAATCTGATGGTGCTCTAATATATTAGATTCAACAGCAACTGTATTCATTGGCACAAGGTTCAGATGATTTATCTACCTACTTCACTAAATTAACGAAGATTTGGGACGAGCTTCGACTTGTTCAAGGAATTCCTGAATGCACATGTGCAACTTCTGCAAGTATTCTCAAATACTTGGATGATCAACATTTAATTCAGATGTTGGTGGGATTAAACGACACCTACAAAGTATTACGAGATCAAATTCTGATGATAAAGCCCCTTTCTTCTGTCTCAACTGTATATTCCATAATAATTCAAGAAGAACGCCAACAAGACATCATCCTTCCTTCTGCAATCAATTTTGATGCTATTGTAATGAATGTTTCTAATACTTCATTGAACAGTTCTTCGAATAAATCTCAATGTTTGTGTTCATTCAGTTCCTTAATCAAACATGTGTTCAACCTTCTGTTTCTTGCTTTGCAAATTCATCTATGACTGAAGGAGTTATGAATCCAGATGGTAAACCCTTCTCATTTTCTCACTTTTCTCTTAATGTTTACAAATCATTTGCATTCCTTCAACCACATTTATCATTCATCATTAATACTGGAGCCATATATCACATGTGCTCTAATCGTGATCTTTTCTTATCCATGTCTACTTTTTCTCAGCCTCATTTAATTAGGCTGCCTAATGATCATCATATTTTCATTTCTCATTATGGTGATATACAAATTCATGATTCAAATGTTCTGAAGAATGTTCTATTTTTTTCCATCTTTCTAGTATAATATTGTCTCTGTCACTAAACTCACTTCTCAATTGAATACTTTTGTGTTATTCACTGATGAGAATTGTCTCATGTAGGACCCCTCATCGAAGAATAGCATATCACTTGGAATTCTAGGAAAAAGTCTCAATGATCTTTATGTTTCTGATTTCCATGATCTTAAACAATCTCTTACAGTTTTTCTGTTTCTAGTTTGTTTCCTAGAACATCTTCACATGTATTCATTACTAGTTTGAATTACATGTTGTGGCATAAAAGACTTAGACATGTACCTTTGTTAAAACTCAAATCATTCATGTCTTTTCCTTCACATACTGCAGATAATTATGTTTTACATTGTTTGATTTGTGCTCAATCTTATCAATCTCGATTACCATTTCCACACAGTATGTCTACAACAAAAGCTCCATTTGGTTTAATTCATATGGATGTATGGGGGCCTTAGAAACACTTAATACATGATGGTTTCAAATATTTTTTAACCATTGCAGATGATCATACACGACATACATGGGTTTATTTACTAAATCACAAAACTTATGCTTTTTCACTTCTTCAAGCATTTATTTAAATGGTTAAAACTCAATTTCATGTGGTTGTTAAGTGTGTTCGTACTGATAATGCCATGGAACTTCGATCAAGTAATGTTGGCAAACAATATTTTCAAGATCAAGGGATTTTACATCAAATGTCTACTGCTTATACTCCTTAAGAAAATAGATTAGTTGAGAGAAAACATAGACACATATTGAATGTTGCAACAGCATTGTACTTTCAATCAGGTATTAATTGGTCATTCTTTTTTAGGAGAGTGTGTAAAAACTACAACTTATTTGATCAGTAGAACACCATCTCATGTCTTGCATAATAAGACTTCATTTGAAGTCTTGTACAAAACCACACCTTCATGGGATACTCGTAAAGCATTTGGATGCTTATGCTTCATTTCCACTGTTGCTAATGGTCGTGATAAATTCATGAGTAAAGCTCAACCGTGTATCTTTTTAGGATACCCATTTGGTCAAAAAGCATATCGAGTTTACAATTTGATGACCAAAACCTTAGCTATTTCACGAGATGTGAAATTTTTTGAATATTTTTTCCCCTTCATGATCTAAAGAGTCATTCTTTGCATTCTAATCCACCTTCCTACATGCCTTCTAATGCTTTAGATAGTTCTATATCTTCCTATACTTCACATCCTTTTACTAATCCTTCAACAAATACCAACACACAAACCTTAAGGAGACCAATTTGAAATCATGTTCCTCCTGCATACTTGCAAGACTATATTTGTAACAATGTTACTTTTGATGCTTTTTGTAACCATACCATTACAAATCATTGCATTAATCCCATAATTCCAAAATACCCTTTTGTCCCACTTCTTCCAATTGTTCATATGCTTTTCATGTTTCCACTCATCCTACTGAACCTGCCGTTTATCATAAAGCTAAGGGAATTCATTAATGGGAAGATGTTATGAAGCTTGAATTGGATGCCTTACAAGCTAATGGTACATGGGATATTGTCAAGCTACCAAAAGGAAAACGACCAATCGCATGTAGGTGGGTTTACAAAGTGAAATACCACTCCGATGGCTCAATTGAACGTCACAAGGCATGCTTAGTTTCCAAAGGTTTCACTCAGAAGGAAGGCATCGACTATCATGAGACGTTTTCACCGGTAGTCAAGTTTACCAGTATACACAATCTTGTAGCATTGGCAGTGAAATATACATCAATTTGACGTGAATAACGCCTTTTTCCATGGAGAATTACATGAAGAAGTTTACATGAGGCTTCCACCTGGATATGAAACTTCATCTTCATCCCTTTTTTGTCGATTAAAGAAGTCTCTATACGGTTTGAAGCAAGCTAGTTGACAATGGTATGCCAATTTGTCTTCTGCCTTACGAATTCAAGGATATTCACATTCCCATAATGATTACTCTCTATTTCTTAAGAATTCTGGATCTACAATTGTTATTGTTGCTATATATGTCAATAACATATTAGTAACAGGGAATAAACTTGAAGAAATTACACAGTTAAAAACATTTTTTTGATGAACAGTTCAAAATCAAGGATTTAGGATTCCTTCATTATTTTTTGGGAATTGATTTGACTCAACAGAAAAAGGAATGGTAGTTCATCAAACCAAATTTATTAAAGAGTTGTTAGCTTCTTATGAAATGTTGGATTCATCTTCATCAACAACTTCCCTAACATCCAATCTCAAGTTGTTACAAGTCATGGATGATCCCCTTTCTGATGCTACTTTTTATCGACAACTTGTGGGGAAGCTAAATTTTTTGTTACATATACGACCTGATCTTGCTTTCACCATTCAACATTTGAGCCAATTTAACAAAACACCTTGTCAAACTCATTATCAAGCTGCTCTTCATGTTCTCAAGTATCTCAAAGGAACAATTGGTCAAGCTCTTCTCTTTAATAATGATTCATCTTATCAATTAGAAGCCTAATGTGATTTCTGATTGGTTTGTGTGTCCTGTTACTAGACGATCTGTTAGTGGGTTCTTCATTATGTTTGGCGGATCACCTATCTGTTGGAAGTCTAAGAAGCAAGTCACTATTTATTTGTCTTCCGCAGAAGCAGGGTATCGTTCTATGAGAAGGTCACAGCAGAGCTTG